CGGCTTCCTCATGCTCTGTCCTCACTTGTAACTCCACCTGAGAAGTAGCTTTCTGATTGTTCCTCTCCTAGCTGAGCTGCAGAATGATCTCCCCTCTCCTCATTATGCATATGTGAGGTCGGTGATAAGTCGACAAACTTTGTGGGAGTTTCCGAATGAGGACAGACACCCTTCCATCTCAGTCCCACTGCTGGTTTCTCCACAAGCAGATTGATGGAGGACTGAAGGATGCTGAGACTGTAGTGCCTTACATTTCCAGCCACACTCCCTTAAAAAGAACTGCCAGTTAGCTTGCTCTGTTACTGTGACTCTTACTTATTCTATAAGCCTTTGCACTGTTGCTCAATAAAGTCAACGCTCCCATGATCAGTCCACAATAATTAGTGTGAGACAAATTCATTGGCATTGAATTTGTGAAACTTTGAATGTTAGTTTTCTCCGGTTTTAATATTTTTTTAATTGCAGTTTCTTTTTAGTTTAGAAATGTTAGGGTTGCTAACAGTGATCAAAACTTGTTAACAATTTAAAAGAGAAAAACTAACCCAATGTGTCTGAGATAAGAATGAAGAAGTCTCAGCTGGGTCATAAACAGGGAGACGTTCCAGTTTTGGTAAACCCAAGTCCGTCCCTAAGTGTCCCTGACCTCTGACCTCTACAGCAGGGACAGAGAACCCCCTAAAGGGGATCAGTATTAGCCATCATTTTTCTGTAATTAACCATTTATTTTAAAATAGTCTATCTACAGACATTTTGGTGTTTTATTTTCCATTAGACGAGAGCATGTTTGTGTGAAAGCATGTAGAATGCATCCTCATACCAGCCCCACAAAGTGAAGCACCTTCTGCTCTGGTTCTGTAAACAGCTGCTCTGATGTCCCTTTGATTTCTGATATCTGCACAGCTAGACTGTCATTGTAAAGTGTCGTCAACACGTGTGTGGATTGTTTTGGAACTGTTGTAATGGAAGTAGAGTAGATTGTACAAAGTGTGTTACAGACCCCATGAAATGAAGCTGACATGATGAAAAGAGAACACTCATTCAAACACTGCTCTTGTACAGCTTACTGTGTCAGATGTGTTGCCAAAGACAAGTCAGTGGACAGCTAACAGCTATAAGGAAGTCACAGACACATCTTCATCCTATCACTGCCTCTTCTTCAGTTACAGCTGCTGTTGGATCATGTCATAGGTTTTTTACACTTGTTTTATTACTATAGTGGTGTTTCATGGCTGATTTTATCGTTTTTTTTCATGGGGTCCTTGACATATTTCAGATTTTCTTTGTAGAGAAATAAGAGTTGTAACCGTCTGAGGGGACAAATCCATTTTATGTTTTTTAGAAGGGAATATTTCCTCAGACATTAAACTTTGAATGAACTGAAGATATGTGACAGTTGCATGTTGGGTAGACCATTCAATTGGCTCCTTTTACCACAGAATAAGTCAGTATAGGAGTGTGTGCCTCTCATTGTTAGAATCCCTGCTGTTCCTCTATTCTAACCTTGATTCAAGAGGCTTTACATCCCATGTTGTGAGTAACATCAGTTAAGGGACACCATTGGAGCTTTTATTTATGTTTGAATTGACAGTGTGTTTGTGTTTACAAGATGTAAATGAAGGATAAGTAAGTTGAAGGTGGGAAACATTTACAGAGCAGGTTACACTGACAAGAAATGAGTTATTGTAAAGATATGATGAATGCATTCATGTATTGCAATGCTCTGATGTAGCTAATCATTTGGAAAACTATCAATATTTTTGTCATACATTTGCTTTTAAGAATGTTTGCTGATTTAAAAAAAAAATCAATGTAAACAATCAGTATTTGCTTATTGTTACATTTTTAGGGAAAAGTATTTCCATTGAAGGGACGGGTGCCTTAGGGGGAATTGCATATTGGAGAAAATAAGCAATTAGACCTCCAGCGTTTTGAAGCACCTTCATTGTTGTTGTATCTAAGTGGTTTTGCTTCATTTAGAAGACCTCTTGAGTTCGATGATGTCATTTTCTCAGTTGATCATGTTTTGTCATATTATTCCTGGATTTCCACATCTTTACCAAAGATTTAATCCCTGCTGTGTTTCAGTGTTGAATCATGTTTGGTAGTTGCTGTTATCTGGACATTATTAAATCAATTGGCCAACATGATCCTAAAGAAGGGTCACATTCAGAGGGATATCTGTGTGCTGTGTTTTTGTTCGGTATGCTTTATCAAACTCTTGCATGAACATTTGTCTTTATCAGAAATGATATTCTTAGAATAAAAAAAATCGGACTATAAAAAAGCCTGTGTCGTATATATTCCTGATTGACATGATTCATTTACACATACATTTAATACCTAATAAGAATGACCAATATGGGGCTCACTGATGACGTCACGTTATTCAAATCCCAAAACCTCTCGGAATGCCAATATGTTCTTATAATACATCCATTAGTTTGATGTATCTGTGCTGCTGCAGTGCCTGCTGGGATTGATGCTCCTTGCTGCTCTCCTCCAGGAGGAGGCGCTGCAGGACAAACACACAGAAGTGGTTTGTGAAGGTTTCCATGTGAAGAACCAAATAAATGTAGAGAGATGAAGCTGCTGTAACATGTAAACACATTGTTGTTGAGTGTGTGTGTTGTCCCAGGTGTGTGTTCAGAGTATACAGAGTGTATAAAGACTGGGTCCCGCTGTATTGCTCAGGCTTGGGCTTTGTCCTGCAGCGCGTCCTCCTGGAGGAGAGCAGCAAGGAGCATCAATCCCCAGCTGTTTTCTTTTAAACGTTTCCATTTAATATTCTTACTTCTGTCGTGTCATTCTGAAAAAATATCGAAATAAAAAAATATCTTTATCATACCCAGCCTCCACCTGCAGACAGCAGGAAGCTGCAGACGCATGCTCCACCTAAAACCTCTTCTGGAAACCTCCCGCCTGTTGGACCTCTAACTGCTAAAACCCTGTTCCCTCTTCAACCTCCGTCAAACTCTACCTCCAGTTTCTCAGGTTTCCTCCAGGTCCTGGTGGACTTCACAGACTTCCAGATCTACAGCAGCTGATCCAGAGCCGAGCATCAGAGACCTTTATTCCTCCTCCTCATCCTCCACCTTCATCACCAACTCCTGCTCTTCTTAGAGTTCTATAAAGTCCATCAATCTCTGCAGTCATCAGACCTCGAAAAAAAAGGACAGTTGGCTTTAGGGTGGGGAATGGATAAAGAAGTGTAGAAGAAGAAATATTGTCCGCTGTGCTGAGCTCTTACCCTTTGGTGTGCTGATGGCTCTGTTGCCCACGGCTCCTTTAGGCATCACTGGAAAGTCAAATAAGACAAACTGTGAAATACTGATGGAGGATAAAAAAAAAGCAGTTGATCCAGAGCCGAGCATCAGAGACCTTTATTCCTCCTCCTCATCCTCCACCTTCACCACCAACTCCTGCTCTTCTTAAAGTTCAATAAAGTCCATCAATCTACAGTCATCAGACCTGTCATTTGAATCCACAAAAAAAAAAAAAAAATAGGTAGCCTACTTTAATATTTCTTATGTTTTATTTAATGTATTTTACAGTTAGCCAGCATCCATTAAATGTTATTAGTATTACTGAGAAATGATGATGAAAAACCACTGTGACTGATATGTTTAAACTCATAAGCACTAATGTAAAAAACACACACTCTTATTCTAGTATTAATATACAAATGTCAAGATGTTCATACGAAGAATCGTAAATGAACAGCATTAAAAGTTAAACTTTCAGTTTTAGCAATAAATGTATGCCAGTCTGGAAATGACTGGAAAAGACTCATAGTTTAATGCTGTCTAATTGTAAATGTTCTTAAATTAAACTTCCCAATAACTTAAAGGTGGGGTAGGTAAGTTTGAGAAACCGGCTCGAGATACACTTTTTGTTATATTCCATGGAATGCTCTTCCCGATAGCAATGAATATCTTAAGTGCTTTGACAAAAAATCCATACAAAAATTTCATCTGTGGAAGCCGTAATACTGTAAAAAGTACGACCAATCATTTTAGCCGGCCTGGCTAAAATAACTGGATGGCCTACCTGCCTGTCAGCCTTCCATCTCTGCACAAACTTATCGTGCCCTCATTGGTCATGTGCGCGTTCGTGTGTGTTGGAGGAGGAGGGGCTCTATAAGGAAGTGGCAGATTTTCTCCGGTTGTGTATTTTCAAATTCTAGCGAGCCCCCGTGCCGCTCAGTAGTGGGATCGCGCCTGTGAATAGACGCTGTAGTGAAGCCTGAGCAATACAGTGGGATCCAGTCTCTATACACTCTGAACACACACCTGGGATCACACACACACTCAACAACAATGTGTTTACATGTTACAGCAGCTTCATCTCTCTACATTTATTTGGTTCTTCACATGGAAACCTTCACAAACCACTTCTGTGTGTTTGTCCTGCAGCGCCTCCTCCTGGAGGAGAGCATGCAGCATCTGCTTCAAAATCACTTCACACATTAAGTCTCCTGCACGTTACAAGATTTATTTTTGAAAATATTATGCCTTTGCATAATTTTGGTGATTTTGTCTTGTTGTCGAGCATGTCAAACTGAGCAGTGCTACCAACAAAACAATTCATATCAAATGAAATGTGTGCCCTACTACTCGACCACTTATGATACAATGCTGTGTTTACTTGCTCAGCTGATATGGAAGCTATTATTATAAATTAGATCTCTCAGTCAAAAAATATATATTGAAAAACTCTAAAATCCATGTTTTTTGTTAAATTCATAATGATAATTTTGGGGGAGTGTCTTTGGAGGGTGGCCTCAAGAGACTGGCTGTCAGTGTCGATGAGTTTGTGACTTTCTCACTGGATTTAGTGACTTTTGGAGCATGTGCTGCAGCATTGGGCTGGGGGTTGGATTATTTGGATTATCTATATTACTCTGGCGGACTTCTCCAATATTGCCCACCAAAGCTCTGATGCAATAGTGTTTGTGATATTAAGACTGAATATCACTTGTGGAATAATAATTCGGCAAAAGATATTCTGAATTGAAGGTCACTTTTATTACCAAACAGATAAAAGACAAACAGTTACACAGACAAACAGTAAATATGAGAGAATATCAAACAACAGCACATAGATGGTGATGAAGATGTAAGAAAAAGAAAAAGTAGCACTTGTGAAGATATAAAACAGAGTTGGAGATGAATCTCCACTAAACTATGGATCCTTTTTTCTTCTGGCGCAGAGGAGACTGCACGTTCCACTGTCTGAGTCCAGGAGCTCTGAAACACAAAAGAAAGGGTTTTAAATCACACATTCTCTACAGAAATGTCTCTAAAACACCTACCTAAGCATGGACAGAAGTAAACTCACTTCTGCTCATTGGACCGCACATCCAGAACACTGGACTCTGCGACAACACCTGTAAGGAAACAGGAGAAAGAGATTCTATTAAATATGTGCACCTCTATAGTTCTGTAGGACATACGGTTGATTTCCTAGAACTCAACTGAAAACAAAACAGGGAGATTACACAGGGGCTTACTTGTTATACGGTCACTGAAGATTGCGCTGACTTCTTCGTCAAAAGTAAAATCAATGTTGACGCCTGGGGGAAAAAAGGACAGTTGGCTTTAGGGTGGTGAATGGATAAAGAAGTGTAGAAGAAGAAATATTGTCCGCTGTGGGCTGAGCTCTTACCTTTTGGTGTGCTGATGGCTCTGTTGTCCACGGCTCCTTTAGGTGTAACAGATGTAAATATGCAGTGGGGTTTATTTAATTTAATATTGTATAATCACACAAATTCTGTGTTTTATATAATTTTATTCTGTGTTCTTCATTTTATTGAATATTAAATACCTGGCAAGGACGGAGATCAGTGGGCGGAACCTCTGAAGTGTGGTCGCTGTGCTCAGGAGTTCATTGTTGTGAGGACTTTCCCCCCTATATAGTAGCCTCGTCTCAATACCCCTCCTCGACTCCTCCTTTCCCTCACTCGCGTCCCTTCCTTGCGTCTTAGCTCCGCCTCCGTAAGATGCGAGCGAGAGACACGAGGAGGTGACGCGAGGACAGAGGAGTCCTCAGGTATTAATTGGGATGTCCTCGTTCACTCAAACGTCACTCTTAAACGACGTCTGTTAATGATGACATGTGCACAGCTGTATCCCCTCTCATTGGGTTTAACGTAGGCCCAATCCCAAACCACGCCCTCGACCCTACCCCTCCGTGACGGAGTGAACGAACTCCGTCTGTAGCCACACTCGCAGCTCAACGAGGCTCCCTCCTGTCAGATGGAGGGAGTAAACACAGCGGCAAGCTTTGGGACGGCCTCCCCTCTCTCCGGCAGAAACAGGAAATGCCGTAACTGTATGTAACAACGGTTTGAAATCAGCATCTCTTAGACAAAAAATGTAAATTAATAACTCAAATAAAACTCCAAACATCTTTCATTGTGTTACTTTTTTGTAAAGCTCTTTTAGTTTTAAACCTGATGTTTATAAGCTTCTTAGTTTTTGCAACAGTCTGTAAATATACACAACTTTATAATAAAATGCACACATTTACCTTTTTCTAGACTAACCACAGGTATGATCCTAAGTTTAAAACATATGAGGTTATCATGAGGTTGTTAACATCGCAATTTATCAGTGTATGTTTGCTGGAACTACTTGTAAACAGCGTGTTTCCTGACGGACACACACAGCGTGACTCCGGTCAGGTAGAGACCGGTCTCAAGTCAGCACCGATGCAGACTCGCTGTTTGAGGGCTTGATAGCCCACTCCCCCTCCACACCGCTCCACACTCGTTGGTTTGGAACAGCACTTAATGTGGCGAACCCTCCGCGCGAACGCGCAAACGGAGGAGTAGTGTGTAGGGGTAGGGTGTAGGGGGCGGTTTGGGATTGGGCCTGAATAACCCTTTAGAACCGGCCCATTTATTGTTAAATATGTATTTAAATGATTAATCTTTCTCTTTTTAGTCAAGGAATTCAATGTATGATGGTTGGTCCTGCTTTTGTGTTCCGTTTTGGTGTAAAATGTACATTTCAATAAAATTATAATTATAATAATGTGAAAGGCTTTACTCTGAACATGTGTGTCCTGTAGATCCCCACATTCACCACAAACCCACATTCAGGACTGTGAATTTTAAATAATTTAACTCCTGAATATTTTAACACAAAACAAAACAAATAATTTGTATTTATCAAGATCTAGCCATTTATGAAATAGCTTTCTTAATAGCTATGTTTTAGTGACGTTCAAGATCATTAAACATGACTTAAATTGTTAGTATAACCTTAAGAAATGAATTGCACATAATAATTCCCACGGAGCTGTGAGCACTTATACATTTATGTGACGCTTTTCCACTCATTCTTCCAGTTCTCCTTTTCCTCTGTTGAAATCGACCAGCTGTGAAGGTGGGGGCGGGGCTTTTATACGCGAGTACTGAAAACACTTCCGCGTAGTCTGCTCTCGTGTATCCTCCCTTTCGTCTCCTCCCGCACCCTTCCTCCCTCACCCCTCCTCGACTCCTCCGTGTGCGTTTCAGCTATTGGGACGTCCTTCAAAATGGCGTGTCTTGATCGATTTCCGGGTCAAGTCCCGGAGGAGGGGAAGAGAGGAGTCGAGGAGGGGTATTGAGATGAGGCTATTGTGTCCCTCCCGTTTCCTCGGCCCTTTTTGTAAACGTTGCACATGAGAGGAGTCACTGAGGGAAACTGATGTAAAACTGATCGTTTTTATCTGTCAGTCATTAAACAGATCGTCTCAACTTTACGCTGGCTCGGGTCTCGTCCATTATCAACACAACGCAGAGACCGCTTAACCACACCGGTTACACTTGGTGCCGTTTGACCCGTTGCATCCCCGATCGGCGCTCGTCTGATCTGCCGGGAGAGAGCTGCGGACTCCCGTCTTCTCCCTCCCTCCTCCCCGCTCTGTGGACTCCTTGAACAGCGCTCGTGCCCGAGCGCGGGAGGTGTGTCTATTGTGACGAGGGATTAGAGTGTGTTTTTTTTAATTTTGTTCTCTCTATCCCTCAGTCCATTTTATTTTCTTATGCTTGCGAGGCTATGGTGGCCTGAGAGTGCATTTAGGGTTACTTTTGGCATGGAAAAAACAGGAAAACGTGTATGTAGAGTGTTATATTCTGTGTAGAATTAGCTCTTTTTATATTTGTTTAATTTATATATATTTTGTATTCATCTTGTGGTGATATTTGATGTCTATATCTGTTTTATACCTGTACTGAGAGTGATAACCTGTTTTTTTTATTTTTCTCTTCATTGGTATTTATTTTACAAGTTTTCTGGGCATATTGTGATATCAGAGGGTGGTACATTTGATCTTTGAGCTATGGCTGGTCATGGGCATGACTTTACTTTTGGGGTGGGGAGGGGTCAGCAGGCTGCTTCTCCTAGTTTTGGTAGGGGTAGGTCTATGTTGCCCAATATTCTCAACTACACAGTTGATCAGTCGGCTGTTGATCCACGTTTGGCCCCCGCTGCCAGTTCCACACCATTCATCCCACCCGGCCCTAAGCCTGCACAAGTCATCTCTGTCGATACATTTGGGGAGTTGATTACAGACTTGGCTAGACAGATTGGGGAAAACATCTCAGCCAGCCTTAGCGCTATTCACCAACCCAGTGTCATCCAGCCTAATTCTGCTACGAGTCAGTCATCCAGTCATGATGGTTTGTCACATTTGAAGGTTGTTGTGCAGTCTGAATCAAAGGCTCCACCTTACTTCAGGGGTGACCATAGTGACACATTCTCAGTTCATGAATGGGAGGACATGATGAAATGTTACATGAATAGGATTAAATGTGACACTCATGAGGAAATGTTCGACCTGATAATGTCAAGGCTAACAGGCAGAGCTAGGGATGTGGTGAAAGTGTCGCTCTGCAGCCGCCCCAAACTGGATGTCACTGCCCTGCCTGCAGCAGTGTTCGACATATTAAAAGGTAACTTTAGCGAGCTCTCGTACTCCAATTTGCCAATGAAAGATTTCTATAGTACCATTCCCCGTGCAAATGAAAGTGCCATGGATTACTGGATTCGCCTCAACAAATCCATTGATGCTGCTGACGAGTGCCTGAGGAGACGAGGTAGGTCTGTTGAGGACCCCAGTGCTGAAGTGGTCATGATGTTCATTAATCACTGCCCCGATCCCAGTCTTACCATGTCATTCCAGCTGAAGGCACCTGAGCAGTGGACTGCATCCGAGGTCCAGGGGCGTTTGGATCTGAGTCCCGACACACAGAGTGTTTGTCAGCTTGCAGTCAGAGTCCTGTGGCTGATTCTTTCCGTTCTTCATGTCCTGGCGGTGCACAAGCTGCCTTCGGGATATGCCAGTTGAATCCTCATCAGACCTCTCTGCCTGCCCCTGTGGGGGTCTGCGATCTGCCTCGTCAGGACAATGTGCTAGTGAGTCAACATGCATCTAATGCACTGCCTTCACCCCTTGCTGCTGTTTCTAACTCAGCCCCTGCCACCATTGACTCATCAACCAAGGAGCCTGGTGTTCAGCAGCTAGTGGCTATGTTTGATAAAGTGCTGTCATTGTGCTCTGCTTCCTTCGAGAACAGCCAACGACCAGGTTACCATCAGGCAGTTTCCCGTCAGCCTGAAAACAGTCAACCACGCAATCGGCAAGCTGGCCGACCCTATCACCAGCAGGGTTCAGTTCCCACTACATGCAGAGTTTGTAGTTCAGACACCCATTCAACCCATGCGCATTGCAGACTTTACCGATTGTGCCTCAACTGCTTTGGTCCTGGTCACATGAGGCTTGAGTGCCCGCAAGCCTCCCGCTCCCCAACCACACCTGCCCCTTCACCCTCCAATGCCGATTTAAACTAGCCAGCCCATGTAATGAGAGGGATAACATGGGCAGTGCTGGTGACACCCTCAGCAGGGAGGAAGATTCGCATTCTGTCTATGCAAATTGTTCTAGTAGTCTTCCTGACGATAAGACAGTGATTTTTGTGGGATGAAGTAAAAAGATATGATTCTACACTGTATTGAAGTAAACATGTATTATTTTGAATTGTATTTTAGTGAACATGTATTGTTTGAACTGTTTTAGGTAATCACAAACGGGTTTTGATAATCACTTAGAATAGGAATGTTATTCTCACTTTTAAACTCACTGACCCAGAGATTCTGTGTTTCACACACCAACCTTGCCTGTTTCACCCCTAAAAACCAGATGTCGTCATTAAGGTCGTTAAAGACAACATTACATCGCTCCTTATCACCCCTAAGAACAGATGTTGTTTTTAAGTCGTTAAAGACACATCGTTAAATAGGTGAAGAAAAGTTTAAATGTCTGAAAAGGGATGGTTTATGTGAAGAACTCATGGGAAAGGAATAGAGTTAAGATTCGAATCGGAGATAGAGGTTGACTTTTGACCTTAGGGGACTTTGGAATTTCAAATTCTGGTGAAGAACTATTGAACTCGACCAGAAGTGAATCCAGCCAGTCAGGACACTTGGGGGAGGTGATCAGCTTACACAGCTCCTCCTCACGGAACTCTGATTCGCTTGGGAGGAAAATGGGAAGGAAGAGTCGATACATCTCCGCCCCAAAAATAGATATGAATACTGATGTTTTTGAGTGTAAAAATGCTTTTTGGTTTGGTGAGTTGGTTGGTCCCGATATCTGTGTCCGCATCGCATCACAAACCTGAAGTCACTTTCATCTCGTTTGATGAGTTGGTTTGATCCCGAC